AAAGTTGAGACTGTTTGTCATTCTATACTTTATTTGCTCCTCTGCTAAAGAGAAACCAAACTCCCACCTCATAAGTTTGCAGTGAAAGCAAAGGTGAGACAGTGGAACTAAATACATAAGTAACTGACAGCGTCCTGACAGTGTAATAAGAGAAAATAGGTGTGTATTTGTATCCTAAACCAAATGATAATTTGTACAACATTTTGCAGCTGTTGAAATTAACTGGAAATACAGCTGGGGGGGGGGGGAAGAAAATTTTTCTCTCAAGATACAGCTTTTATGAAGCTCCAGAAAGAGAATTCACCAACCCAAACTTTGTACTTCACTGCAATCAATAGTAAGTCAACAGAGTTAACTGTCCTGGAAAATTTATGATTACCAGAACTTGTGTGCTAAACATTAGGAAACATTGCACTTTGGGGTAAATTTAAATTTTCACCTCTTTCACAGACTTCAGAAACTAATGACTGTTTGCAAGACAGATTTCAGGCCGAAACCACTTCCTGGATTCAGAAGACAAAGTCAGTACTTTCACAGCCAGTGGAAGGTTAATTTTGTGCCTATTTGCCAACTATAACACAAGGCCACATGATTTGCAAGGACTAAGTTCTCCTTATGCTAAGGAGTTCATTTAAATCCATACCTCACGTATCCCGTGAGAAAGAGGCTAATTGGGGCTAACCACATAGAAATAAGGACTTCACAGGACAAAGGAAAGAGAGTGTGACTCTATCCCATGGAACAATGCTTTCCCCTCACAGCATAGCTGTATTTTGCTCTTTGTTCTGGACACCACGCATGCACCAAAACAAAAAGGGCCAAAACCATCGGGAGTTTTTCCAGCAGAAGTGCCTCAACCAGGAGGTTAAACCTGCATGCCTCAATGCACCAAAGTAAAAGTGAAATGAAGCCAGAAATCTACCTTTCTTCCTTACTTTACACATCATAAAGCATTTCATTAATACACTGAGTATGTATTACAGAGCATCTGTGACTAAGAGATGCTGTTGTTCAATCCAACTTTAAGTGAGGAGATTTGACACTGGGCAGCAGGAAGATGACAAATCAATGAAAAAAAGTACAAAATGAAGTTGAACTATATCAGGGGTTACTTCATTAGACTGCCTTCCTTTCAGTCACCCACACTGGCATCCCATATAAACCGAAAGAAACATATCTCACAACACTTTTCACCAAATACCTACACTACAGACACTAGAAAGCTGCCGCAAGAAAGTTGGTTCTTTTATATGAAATTATGTTTCATATACTGAAAGGGTATAAACAGACAAGGATAAAACCTTACTGTAGCCAAACAAAGTAGTACTAACTTTAGATAGTGTGAAATACCCAGATTTGGATCGGGATTACATCCTACTGGTTGTACTACATTATTGCTTTTCTTCCACAGAAAACAAAACTGAAATTAAGTTTTATTAGCATAACTTAGTATCAAAAAAACCCTGGCTTTGGAATTTTATCAAAAGATCAGATAGGACTTTTATATCACATATATATATGTATACATATATAATATCTCAATCACAAAACAAAAACAAACGAACACACATACCTCCCAAATTAAACTACCTGTAAAGAGTTTTTTAACCAAAACTCAAGGACACATGTTAAGGAATAAGACTTTTTTAAAAAGGCAATAAAAATATCCTATTTGACTTCCCTTATTCCCACAATATAGCAAGGAAGACTGACTTAGAAAGATTTAAACCAGAAATTATCATTTTTTTCCTCATGTGTGCCACTTTACTATCAAACTATATTTTATGAAGATCTTGCTGCACCATGTAACTCAGAACCTATGTACCTTTACTCTTGAAGCTCCACTTTAAATAGTGTGAGAAACCAAAAGTAAATAACAATTATCAAAATATAAAGATCAAGCCTATTAAGTTCTCAAGAGAAAAACCTACGAAATCACAAAGGTTTATAGAACGTTTCTGTGAAACAGAGATTCATAGAGACTAATAATGTTTACAGAATTCATGTAAAGTGAACAAAATCGTTGATGTTGTCTGAAATCACAGTTGTCAATATCATTTTCTCGTCTTTTAGTTTTTCCTACAGAAGAGCTTCTCTGCTCAGAAACAGAATTTGCACAGTGACAAAAAATACTCTTATGTAACTTACCGTAGCACTATTTTAATGCATAAAAAAATCAACTTATTTTGTCATATTAGAATTTCTAGATAGCACTAAAGAACACAAGTACCTCTTCTAGGCACTGGGAATGACATAGTCCCCAGGGGACACTGTTCTACCATTGACAGAAACAGCCTATTTTTGCATTGTGGACTGCTTTCAAACAGCTCCTATGCTTACTGCTGTCAGGGTATCAATGCCTCCTTCATCAGCCTGCTATGCCTCCTTTGCTCTGGTGCTGTAGCAAGCAGCTGAAGTGACAGGAGAGGATGACAGAGCCCTCATTCACAGGGAAGTCTGGGGATGTCTGTTTTAGCAATGAATTGGGAAATTTAATTTATAACTAGGCAAAACATCATTTCCCTATGCCATCTCTTCAAAAACACCTGATGATCGATAACATGAATTTAATTGTTCTTAAAACAAGATGGCACATTTATAAACGTTACTGTCAATATCAGAATACCACTAGACACACATTTTACCCATGAGGGCAAAACCACTTCAGCCTGTAATCAAATTATTGAAGTCACAGACAGCTCTACCTCTCTTCCCTGGTCAGGACACACTACAGCAGACCAACTATACATCACTATCACATGCTGACTCTAAATACATACCTATGTAACCTAACACAATCTTAGAATACATAAGAAAAGTCTGCTGCAGTTTCAGTACGACTGACATCTAAACTTGTGTTAAGTCACACTAAGTATAAAGTAACTGAACACCTCAAGGGCAAAGAATGACTGCGCTGAGTGTGTAAATTCTTGCATACCTTACTAAATTATTAGGGAAAAAGTTAACAGTTCTACTATGATACTATTTCTAATGCAGTATCTTCTCACGTGACCTCATTTTTAGTAAAGTCACAAGGAAGTCTTACCGTTTCCTTTGTATTTAAGGAAGTTGAACTCAAACTTGTATTTCAACTCTTGTTCCTTCTAAGTATTTTGGGTTATAATGTGCACAGCTAAAGACACAAGTAACCTAACTGCATTACTCACCTGTACTTCAACCTGTTTTCCCCACTGGGTAATGACATTGCCAACATGATTTCAATACTTACCGTGATAACAGAATAACACCAGAGTCAGTTGTAAGGTTCAAAGTTGCACTGCTCATTTTTACTGTTTTCCCATTAAACAGTCCCATTACTCCTCAATTAGTATTCAGGTTGGGAGAAAAGGGAAGGGGAAAAAGAAAAAAAAGAGAAAAAAGGAAGCTAGTAAAAAGACCTCTTCAGAAAATGTAGGATTTAAAATTTTCTGGGGTCTCACTAGCAAGTCTCACTAGCCCTTTATGTATGCTCAGCTGCTTATTTCCAAGGTTTTCTTCCACCACTTTATCCAGAACCCTTTTTTCTTTTTTTTATTTAAAAAGTTATCTCCCTTTGACTGCTAACCAATCATGCTCTACTTAAGAGTGCAGTCTTGAACATTAGAAATATCATCTTATGTCAAGGCATGTGTGTTCTTAAGAGCCATGCAACACATGGAAATCATTATTTGCATTGGAAACTGAAAAGACTGCAGTGTGCACCTTGTAAACTAATGACAGACATTTATGATTGTGTATAATTTTCTTTCAGCAGAAATTACTTCCAACTAAATTCTAGCACCTGACACCTACTGCATTTTAAAACCCATGGACACATAAAGTAAGCTTCAAATTAAGAAGCTATTCCTAACTTCCTCCTCTAGTAATATTCAGGATATTTCATTAACCAAAGTTATGATATTTTGGAGGACTAACTTCTGTAATGGATAGCTATACTAACAAAGAATCAAATATATTACTCTTCAGTTGAAGTCATTGATTTAAATAAGTTTAGTATGTAGGAGTGCATCACATACATGGGTGATGACCCTTGAAATGAAGACTACTAATACAATACAATCATAAATTATGCCACCTAATACATTCTAACATGAAGGCTATGCAAGTGGTAAACAAGTTAAAAGACCAGACAATTCCTTAATTTCTTACTAATGATCTATGAAATATCATGTTAAATTTAAATTACACTGACAATTATAGTGTAGGAGCATAGCACTGTTGAACTGAGCAAACATAAGCTTTGGTAAATTACGGGCAAGGTTATAAAGAACTGCATTACAACAACTCCTTAAAACTAAACTTCATTTAATGCAGGTCATACTGTGATTTATGAGCCATACACAAACCCAGCAAGTCAAAGAATAACTCAAGAAAAAAAACCAGCTTATGTCAACTGCTGTTATTAATAATAGTGATCGAGGAAATAGTAAACTGAAAATATTCGGGAGTTTGTTGTGACATCAGTCTGACATGCAGTTACACACAGTGTAGCTGTATCAGGTCACAGTAGTAATATTCAGAAGAGAAAAATACTGCCAGTCACTTCTGTCGAGTTTTCAACAGAAGAAAAAAAAAATCTCGGCGGTAAGACACCTAGATGGATCTCGAGCAATTTCAGCGGACCTACAGCCACACATCAGTTCGAGAAGTATTGCAGACAGGCAAACAAAAGTTGCGGTAAAACCTCCACTTCTCGTAATGAAAATCAGAGCCCAGCATCACCCTCGGCTCACCAACGAAGCACACAAAATCCCAATTCCTCCTAATTTCACAGGCAGCCTGTGTGACTGCTCACCCCCGTCCTTGCCGGCGAAGCCCAGCCCGGAGGGCTCAGATGTTCGCTCACAACTTTCTCTCCCCGGCGCGGCGGCGGGACGAGCGCACGTGCTGCCGCTCCCCGCTCCGCGCACCCCGCGCCGGGGCCGGGCCGTGCCCCGGGAGGCGGCAGCGCGGCGGGGCACGGCGGGGTGGGCTGGGCTCCCGGGCGGCTTCGGACCTACCTGCGGCTCGGCGGGCTCGGCCGGCTTCACCAGGTGCTTCTCCTTGTAGAGAGACCAGAGGCCGATGTCAGGCAGGAAAATCAGAGCCGCGGTGAAGAGCAGCGTCATTTGCAGAAACCTCTTCTGTTTCCTCTTCATGGCCAAAGCCGGGCTGCTCTGCTGGCGGCGGCGGTGTCAGCTCCCCCAGCACCACGGGGCCAAGTCCTTCCCTCCCCGCTGTCCCTGCGAGGGGCCCGGAGCCGCGGAGAAACTTCGCCCTCCTCACGCCTGCCCACCCCGTGCCCGGGCGGGGCCGCCCCCCGCGGCGGCGGCGGTGCCGAGGCAGGCGGCCGCTCCCCCCGCCCCGACGCGGTGCTGCGCGGCGCCGGTGCCGCTCCTGGGGGAGCTCATGGATCCACCTGCGCACAGAGCGGCAAACAGCCCGGCACACGGCGCCAGAGGGGCAACAGAAATATATATTTAAAAAAAAAAAAAAAAAAAAAAAAAGGGAAAAGCCCTACAACCCGAGTCCTCTAAGCGACGTGGGACCAAGAGCGCCCCCTCCGCCCGGCTCCGCCGGAGCGCTGGCGCTGCGCGCAGCTCCCGCAGCTGGCCTCGCCCGCCCGCCTCACGTCCCCCTGCCTGCCCGGGCCCGGGCCGGGGGGCGCGGCATCATGAGCTCATCACGCGCAATTTGCTAAGCAAGAGTTTAAAAAAAAAAAATCAGGAAAAGAGAGCTGATGCCGGAGCAGCGGCACAGCGCGCCCGTCCGCGCCGGGGAGGCGGGCAAGGAGAGGCGGCCCCGCGCCCCCCGCCACCACGTGCGCCGACCGGGCCGGGGGCAGGCGACATCGGGCCTGCCCCACCGCGCCTCCTCATCCCGGCCGCCCCATGTGCGCTATCCGCCGGCTCCGCGGCTTTTCCTCCGGCGGACGAGGCGCTGAGCGGGAGCCTGGCTCGGGTTCCGCGGGCCGGAGCCGGGCGGTGCTGCTGCTGTTGCTGCCGGTTCAGCCGCCGCGCACCGGGGATGGGGTTTGGAATTCCCGTTCCGGTCCGTCCTCCTCGGCGCTACGTGAAACGCGGGGGGAACCGCGCGGAGAGCCCGCGGGTTGCTCCCTGCCCTGGGGCCCGGACCGCTCCGCCGGGCAGTGTCGGGGCGCTCACCTACCGGGCTATCCCCGTGCTCCCCCCGCGGCGCCGCCTTCCCCGAGGCTGCCCGACCGCAACCCCAGCAGCTCCAGACTTCTCCGAAACGCGGTCACCCCCCACTTCGGTAGTCGAGGGAAGGAGATGCTCAAAGCAATGTCGACTTGCACCCAGCTTGTTGCAATCGAACCCGTTTGGGCTTGTGGTCAGAGTTCAGCTGCTCGTTCTGACCACGCAGTGCAATTAGCTTTTCTTTTCAAACTAACTCCTCTAAGCAAAAGAGGAGGACACTCAGGTTAAGCTTACTAGGACCTAGTGCCCTTTAAGCTTTGTCACATCAAACAGTGGGAAAGTGTGTACGAGACTTGTAACATTAACGTGTTCAGAATGAATATTGAAAAATAAAGGTATATCTAACTTCTTTTTTTTTTTTTTTCTGTCTTGCATGTAGAAAGCTACCACTTCAGTGACAGTCCATGTTTCTATTGGTGGCTAAAATATTTCTGAATGTCTATGTCTTAATCCTGCAGTAAGAATCCTCTTTCTGTAACCACAGTGCATCTCTACAAATGATGAGAAGTAGTCCTCTCCTTTTCCATGGGTGAGATCAGTCTTGTCCATCCACAGAACTATCTTGTGCAGAAAGGATTTCCTACATATGCATAAAACAAGAGGCAGTTAAAGGTTATTTTTAGGAGAGTAGCTGGAGATAAAAGAAAGCTTGTGGGAGGAACAGGAAAACTGAGCGATGAAGGTGGGATGGGAGGAAATAGCATAATGCTCTTTACGTAAAAGTAGGACTGGAAGGGACCTTGCGAGGTCAGCTCTTCCATGGCTCTGCCCCAAGGCACAATCAGCTACATCTGTGTCATTTTTGACAAGTGGTTGTCTAACCAATTCTGAAGTCCTCCAGCAATAGCACAACTCCAGCCTCCTCAGGCAATCTGTTCTGACTTGCCGTTGCAAACTGTTCCTTAATGTTTAACCTGAACTTTCCTTACTGTAATTTCAGAGTATTACAATAGCCACCAAAGGGACAGCAAGCAGAGTATTTCTCTCAGTCTTCACATAGTCAAAGTCCACTTCCAAACACTGTTCCATTGGCACTCTAGGATGTCTCAAGATCTAATGTCACTTCCGGCTTTCATCAGGACTGTCTTCAAATACTGGTTTGTATTTGAAGTGCGATGTCCAAAGCTGGAGCTAATAAGCTACTTGGGACCTTTTTAAGTGTTTATAAGAAAAGAAAGATAATTGTGGATGTGTCACAGTGTGTTCTATTTTTCCATGCTTCCATGTGGAATGGAAGCTTTGTTGTAACAGCAGTAGCTTGTTAACTAATGACCATTTTGTGATAAAATTTAAGCTCTAGTTTGTTTTGTTTCCCTCAAGAACACCTAATTCATTGTCTCTATTTCTATGGCTGAATATTTCTCCTGTTTGTACTGTCTTTACTGTATATAATTTTTTTCTGGAATATTTATCCAGTTTATCAAAATCACTTTAAATTTAAGCCTATTTTCCTCTGTCATATACAAATGTAATAAATTTGTTCAATTCTGCAATCCAGACTGTTAGCAAGAATTTTAGTGTGTTCAGATGCGGGACAGATCCTTGCAGAGTTCTTCAAAATGTATGTTCCCACATTTGACATTGCGCCATTGATACTTTACTTTCTCTGTAGTTTCCAGACAATTTTGCACTCACCCTGAAAATTGCAATACCTAAGTAAACTAATCTTGCTTAATGGAGTGTAATGTGCAAGACTTTGTTCTATTGTCTTGGTGACAAAGGATGTACTTCATTGTTTCCTTTTCACCCCTGCCAGGTGTCACACTAAAAGGGGCAGAAAAGAAGAATTTTCTGTCCAACCTGTATTAATTTATTTTTTTGTCTATCAGTGTCCCCTCTCCAAGAGATCAAAGCCTTTTAATATCCAAAATAGTGTGTTAGCCTCTCACCTATTGAGACCTTTCACTTAACAGATTCGCTGAGACAGACAGGACGTTTGATACCTTTTATATATAGGGACTGCACTTAATAGCGGTAGAAAAACCCCTCAGAGGGTTTCTCCTATTAGTTATTTCGCCATTGACGAAACTGTCAGCACCTAAAAATGGACTCATTCTAACAGTTCATGAAATAGCATGTTTAATAATGCGAATTGGTGACAATTTATGGGGTTCGATGTGTCTGGAATAGGGTATAACTGCAAAAAACCACACAAACTCTGTAGTAGTAATAATAATAATACAAAGCATAGACACACACGCTGAAGCAAAAGCAACTTACAATGAAGTGATAAGTAAAAATTTTAAAGTACTATAGAGCAAAAGTAAAATTAGTATGTTTGTATAAAGCAATTGCTTACCCCAAGGCGTCCCAAGAAGGTGGAGGAAGAAAAGGCAGCCCATCAGTCACCTCCACAGAGTTGATGGAATTTGTCCTGGATTTTTGCTTGGGTCCAATCTCTTTTTATACCTTTTTTCTTTAGTCAGTTTGAGTGGCTATAGTCAATAAACTAATTTTGGGGTGATAGACAGATGAAATAGGCCCAAGGGTCCACTTTCTGAATTCCAGGATGTTTGAGAAAAAAGCCCATGTTTATCTCCATATCACTTCTTCCTTTTAATCCTTTTATCAGTTCCTGTGAATGTCTCCCTAGGTGCTGGAGGTTTCCAGGAAGCAATCAGGAGGGAGTTTTTTCTTCTTTTTTGTGCCTTTATCTATCATCTTACACCAGGTTATAAGGATGGCATAGAAGATCACCAAAAAAACACTCCACAAGCATTTCCACCTTTTGATTTTTGCAGCTAACCAAGGAGGCATTCAGTTCAACCAAATTTTAAAAAATTGGGGTTGTATTCAAGAGCTGAATCCACCCAAAGATTAGAATTACTCAGAATACCAAAAGGCATTGATCTTGTCAGAAATTCAACTTACTTTTTTAGCTCATCATCCAGCGTTAGGAAATTTACCAAGCATATAGAAGATTTTGATTCAGCTGCCTTTTTGTCTGAAGACATTCAGCCCTGATGTTCTTCCACTCAGTGCAAAAAGCATAATAGCTAAAAACATCCTAAGTATAGAAATGATCGCTATGAGATCATGTAATAATTGTATAGCAAAGTAGGACGACTGGCAGGAAAGATTTAGGAGATGGTGCATCTAGAATTCCACAGCGTGCCAGTTAAGTCTATCTCTGGAGGTCAAAGTGAATACAGACATTGATTCTCAGGAGATGAAATTCATTTTAATTTCCTGAATCCTGAGAACAAGTTTGTTGTAGGGCCGTAGTCCACAACCGACAAATCCAGGTCTGCTTTGTAAAGAATTAAAGGCATATTTTTCAGCAAATAATTTCTTTCACATAAGCCACCTAGCCCTCTTAAGCACTGCTGAATTTTTAACACGCTGAGCTAGTTTTAAATGAAGGTAAAAGAAAGTGTCACTGTTGTGTGAGTTAAAATCTGAAAATACACAATAACGCGTGGCAATAACTTATGCTCACCCTAGAAGAACTTGCAGTGGAGGTGCAGAATATACAGTTTCTTCAGTGCGAGTATATTCAAGCCTTCAAGTATTTGATGTTTGAAATCTCAAGCCATAAATTATAAAGAATGAAAGAGGTGCATCCTGAAACCATATACACCTAAGCACCAGAATTTAGTGTGTTGGGGACATATTTTCATTTCCACTCTTATATGTCTTCCTAAGCCAAAAGTTCCACCAAGATTTCTACTAGGAAAGATTTCTACTAGGACAGAAAATAAGAGTGTAAAACACACTAGCAGAGATGAGAACTACCAAGCAAGATGACTATGAGAAGCTGTTCAGTCATGTATTTCAAACATGAAGCTGAACTTGAGTTCAGAAGCTGAACTCAAGCAGCCTGCAAGGTAAATTTTTTGCGATCACAGCTTTATGTACAGAATTTTTCAAAAGGGACTCCAGGTCATGGCTAATCAATACTCTTCATGCAGGAAAGCCACTATTCAATGTATCTATTGCAGCAGCCAACTCTGCCGTCACATGAAAGACAAAGTATCTGCCTTCGTGTTCACTGTTACAAACACCAGAGGTTGATGTGCTCTAAGCAGAGAATGAATCCAGTAAAATGATGATTAACCATCTGTAATATTACCATATAAAAGAGTAAATAAAGGTAATGAAATGGGAGTTTGCTTTGATTACAGTATTTACCTCCAGGTAACTCAGGGTGTAAAATGACCAGCTCTGTTCCCATGGTTTTTTTCAGTGTGCTTAGTGGGAGAGACATGTAGTGTTGCGAACCACTCTCAAAGGCAGCAAGAAAGGGAAAGGGATCTGTTCTTTTACTAGTACAACCCTGATCTGAAACAGCTGCAAAAAACTGATGAGTCTAGTACATAGGGGACTGACATGCTGTATCATGGCTGGTTTTCATCCTCAGACCTCCAAGGGTCCATCAGAGCACCTCACATCCTCTCTCTGTATCACTTGTCTTAAGACCACCAAAACCTCAAGGGAAAGGCATGACACTGGTAGCACACTAGAAATAGAAATGGAAATTCAATGTGATACAAAAGTACTCTTTTACAAAAGCTCAAAATCCAAGATCCTCCAAACTCCCACAGAAAACATTTATTTTCAATGTTTTCTGCAGAGAAAAGTTTCAACGTATTCACCTCAAAAACTGAAATGCTTATTTTTATGCAAACTCTGTGTATAAATAACAATACATGTAAAAGGTTTTTTATTGACTTTCACTTTCTAAGTCACTTGGGCCTTCTCTGTCTCCAGTTATGTCATCAAGTTCCAAAATTGTTATCTCATATTTGTACTGCTGCTAACTGTGGAAATATTTTTTGTAAATCTCATTTGTTGGGTTTTTCTTGGAATCAAATTCTTGTTCTCAAAGTTATCTGAGAATTTCAACTGAAAGGGAAAGCTGGGAGCCCTCCTATGCATATAGGAAATAAAGAAATTTATTTCCCAGAGAGAAACTCAAGAGAAGTTCCCTTTATTAAGACTTTTGAATCCTGAGCTGTGTTTTTTAAGTTACTAGGTTTGTCAATATTGCATAGAGCTAGAAAACTGACTTGAGAAGTACTACAAACATTTATTAAAATTGAAGCATTTGTAAATCTGAAGACCTTTTTATCTAGGGGAAATTTTCTAGTCATAGTACACTTAAAGGTCCGTTACGTTAAATAAAAAGTTTAATAGCAATGAAAAGAACTAAATAATGTGAATTAGGGCAGTTGTTTGTCCCGTCCCCCATCCCCACCTCCTCACCCCAAATCTCTGTCATTTAGAAAATTGCATCATTCCTATTCCAGAATTATAAAGTTTGGTTTAAATTCTGAAGAAAAACTCAATTAAAAGTCACACAGAACTTAAATGAGTAATGCTAACACCATGAATTATTTCCACTTTCAGATCTTTATTCTATTTGACTAGCTGGATGATGGATGATTGCTTCTTCATTGTTGCTGTGCCACTACAAACTAAAGAAAGCAGACAAAAATGCTGATGGATCAGACTTTTTGCCAGTTACCTCACAAGCTGCAGATTCACTACTGCACAAAAGAAATCACTGAAATATAAGGGTAATCAGGAAAGTTTATTTTGAGAGAGAAAATCAGTAAAATGTCAAATATTTCTAAATAGCTCAGTAATCATAAAACACTGATGTCAGGAAAAATAGTTGCTCATTCTTCCTTTCATAAAAATCCACAGTAATTTGGACCTAAATATGGTGCAGGAACATGGCATTTGCAGAAAGTTGGATGAAAAAAGTTATCTTCTTTTAGATCATCATTTTCAACAAACAGAAGCAATATACTAGCTTTACAAGAACAGAACAAACTCAACTCTGTGATAGCTAGGAAAAACACTTTGCTTTTTTTGAAGATCAACCCTCCTTTGCAGTCTTCTCAATGTCCCATTTCAGAAACCTTGCTATACATTTTCCAAGTATCTAGTAAAGTCTCACATCAAAATTACTGTTTTCACATCCAAGAGACTCCTTTGTCTGATAATACATAGGGCCTTCACACTCTCAACATGCAATCTGATCCAGGTTGGATCTAAAATAACATATTACTGGAAATAAAACAGTACATTCGGCAAAGCTTCCTTAACAAGGTTGCAAGTCTCATCTCACTAAATTTGTAAAATGTGCAGAATATATCAAAAGATAGCAGATGTCACCTTCAGTTCTGATTTTTCACTAGAGGCATCACCGACAAACTTCAGAGATGTCTACACTGATAAACAGGGGAGGAGAATGGGCTAGAAGGAGCTTCACAGTGCTTAGTTGCTCATTTGCCGTCTGGGTTTTTTGGGCTGATCCCGGGCTGGACTACGCCTGAGTCCAGCATTGGGAATCATTTATTTCCATTAACAATATAAAAGGATGAATGGATGAGATGGCATCAGGCTCTTGGTATCTCTGTCATCCTCATGCACTCCCAGTCTGCGGAGCACTACATACTCCAAACACTTGTCATGCCTTCCTGCCATTTCCTAGGGTACGTTACACATCCTTGAGGCCTGAAAAAAGTCCCTTTAGTGGCTTGCACAGAGACCTCATGTCACCTCAACTGTAATGGCCTGCATCTTTTTCTCTGCGTGTTATGTCAGACCTCAAGATATCCACTTGAAAAGTGAGCACACTAAAATGTTGGTTTGCTACTTAGAGTTCAAAATACATGGAGTATTTCTCTAACCCACCAATGGTTGACAGTTTCTGTGAATTATACCTAGGACAATGAATGCTATATAAATCCTTCCTTCGTTTGTAGATGAAGAAACTGTCAAAGTGAATTTAAATGAAGATCATAATGCTGACAGCTCCAGTGCAAATTTCTAGTATGCATGTATATAAAAACATGAAGCAAATAATAAGCAGCACATTTCTACAACAGTAGTGCATTTAATTCTGTCATGCACTGTAAAAAGGCATAATAGATGCCATAGAAGGCAAGATGATGGTCTTTTTTTCTGGGTGCAACCCAGCAATTACATAACCTGTGTTCTAATGACTGCATAGTTCTCCATCATTAAGGAGGAAATTTCATTTTATTTAAAATTATAATCACCAAATCCAGTGACTTCTGATGAGCTGTGGGAATGTGATTTGAAATATTGATTCCACCATACTCAAGTAAGAAAATAAATGGTGAAAGAAACAAGACTCAAGATAAATACTTTATATTGGAAAGTATATTTTTGTAGGGGATGTTAGTAATTTTTTTCTGCTTTTTTATTTTATTTATTAACATTTTTGGCACTTTACATGCAAATGTTGAAGAGCAGAGATAAGCCAATGTAGAACATAAAGGACTAGAATGCCACTCAGAAAAAATGCTTACCAGTATCTTTATAACCAATAGCTACTGTCAGGTTGATCTACAGCCTTACTAACCAGATATTTAGTATTTCCCATGGAAGTTGTTTTTTTGTGTTTTCAAACAGCCATCATATGAAACAGAAGATTTTTTCACCTATTGCAATTCAGACATCACAAGCTCTCTTTTCAGTCTTAGTCTTCATTCAAGCTCATAGGATATTCCACTGTAGTAGGACTTGGAATACATTAAAGGATCAAACATAAGAAATACAGACATCACTGAATATTATGAAGGAAACAAAGATGAAACAAACCGAAGAGTTTCTTCAAAAGCTTATATAAAATTTTTAACTAAAATCTTTCATTTCAATGAGTTTCATGATAGTGCAAAAATGAGAAAATAATGTATTAATGGCTATCAGATGTAAAAAAATGTTACATGTATCTAATTAGTCCTAAATTTAAAGAATCCAAGGGACTTTTTAATTTTTTTTGGGGGGTGGGGAGGGGGAGTGTTCTCCTCATGCTCTGAGTAAAAGACTGGATAATAACTATCAAGAAACTGAGAGAAGAGAAAAATTTAACAAATATGTGATGTCTCCATGAGCACATACTTATCCTTTTTATGAATATTTAAGAGAGTTTCCAATTTCTGGTGTTAAAATACTTAAAAATTCATTGTCTGGAAACACCTAGCTTGCTATATGTTTCTAAATGTGATTTTAACTCCAAATAATGAGAAGCAGCACCGGGTGCCAGAACTGCAGTACCTTAACTTGAGAGCTGATAGTGCTTAGACAACACTGAAATGTACATTGGGAAAGCCAATTACATCCTCTGCTGCCGTAATGTGAATCAATAAGTACTCTGTCCTGTCCTTTCACTTCAGAGTTAGAGCTCTCGAACACATGTGTCTGGCTTGAAGTTTTTCGTAAAAGTGAGAACAAGAACAGCTTCATTTTAGCCATAGCAATCAGGAGTAAATGAGAGGTGACTCAGGCTACAGGCAATAAACCAATACTTGTTCGTGTGGCTTGGAAAACTTATTTTTTAAAAAAGCTACCATTCTGAAAGAGAAATGTTGTTCCACGGTACTGTCCAATCTTAACAAATGTAATTTGGAAATTTCCCCACCTCATTATTTAGAGGAAACTCTTTTTATAACTAGTATACCTAGAGCCCTCCACATCTTGGAGAGCTAATTTTAGTCAATACGATATCAAGATGGTAATTCCAAAACATAGCTAAGAATAGAGCCAAATGGATTTTCAAAAATCATTCATCCTGAAGTTAAAGATAAATTAAAGAATAGCTAATATTAAGAGCTCTTTATGAAGTGATTAATGAAGTCTGTCAGGTAGTAAATCCCCAAATCTCTAAAACTTATCAGGTAAGTTTTATATATACTAGAGGAGAGAGAAAAAAATAGGAAGAAGCTTTCTACTATAATAGATTCTACTCAAAAAGAAAAAAAAATCTGATTTTGAGTTGATGCAGAAGCAAATGGATTGGTTAAAAACCAAACAACGGAAAAAAAGAAATCCCACCAAACTAAAAAAGAGATAAAACATGAACACAGTAAAGAAGCTTTTAAAATTTGTAACAGCAAAAACCTTAAGACCTTTTTAAACAAAGTTCAAAGAAAGTACTCAATTTCAGTGTATATGAGAGCTTTTTCTTAGCCCAAAAATAATTTTCTTTTCTAGTTTTTCCTTTCAGCCATCAGTCCCCTTCTGCTGCGCACCTGTATTCCCACACACACATACTTAGTTGAAGAGTTTTTCACTTATGTCCTCCCCATGCTTTAAATGACCTTGCATTGAGAACACTGGCACATAATGAACATAGATTATAATATTGGAGCTAATTACTCTGATTCATGTTTCTGACCTGAAGAGCATATAATAAGCGGATGAAAATACACCATACTACGCACCTTGTAAGATAAAGAGTCACTGCAGCTTGAACACCTCAGCAATAGGTAGGAATTTTGAAGTTTCTTATAAAATCTTCAAGCTCATCTTCTCCAGCTTTCACGCTTGAGTTAAATGCTTTCCAGCCTTTGGGAAGCCACAAAAGCAGCTTACATTATTGGTATTACATTTAATATATATGTTTCAAGCTTTTTAAGACCATTTGGCATCTAAGACTGAAGACAGTATCAGCCTATATACATAGAAGTTAATATGACAAATCAGGCTACTTCACAATGAAATGCCTCTTTTCAGATGATGTTTATGTATAAGAACAAGTTAAATTGTCATCTCTTTTTTCTTTCAGGTCTCATACTATGGCGTTCTGCTAGCAGAGAACTTCCTTGCCAAGAGAGCGGGCCCCATCTGTCATTCACTCTTCTTGTTTCTCAGTAGAGTTAAAAAGCCTGACAGTTTCCATGAATAACAATGACACATACTCTTATATCTTGCAGAGAGGCTCAAATTTTGTTGATGAAAAAAGGGGAAAAAAACCCTCAGTGTTTAGAGTTTTCTGAGCCCTGCTTATGTCAGGGTTTGAGTGAAGACGGAACTGTTGTGTGTGACAACAAACTTCCGTATAGCTGTTACCATGTAATTCTGACCTAGGCCACTGCAACTAAGGACCTGTTTTCACACACATCTGTTTCGTAATCAATACCCCATGCTTTTACAAGAAAGATTCTTATGTATCTGGGTTCCAACAATTAATACACAGTTGTTGACCACGTTTATGCATCTGAACTTAAAAAGCTACATAAGCCCAGTTGTTTGAACATGTTATGGAAAGTATTCAAAAATCATAGCAGAGAGGCATGTTTTGGAGGAGATGCTCACAGGGAGCATGTAGAAAATGTGCTTTTACTGCTATGAGAGCTTTTCATGGTAGGTTTAACAAACATAATTGCATAAATATAGCTATAGAAGCACATCTATACTACCTAATCTTCAGAAAAACTGCACCTACCTGTTTGGTAATAAGTTTATTTTGTTAGTGCAGAAGACAATGGGAAAAAATTTCCACGCAAGGAAAGTGCTTTACCCAAGCTTACCTAGCTTTTGTGATTAATAGCGCAGCACTGCATCAGTTATTGGTCAGCCTGGTGTTGGTTAAAACTTTATTCCTAGCACAAGCTAATTCAGATTTTGATCTGAAAACTTCCTCTGGTCTCTTGAGGTTCTTTACAGGGAAAAAAATTACACCCATATCCCACATTAAATGTTTTTATGAAAGGAAAGGGAAGCTATCTGCATATAGACCTGTATTTAGAAGCACTTTTTATTATTGGCATGAGTGATTTGGTATTTTGTTTTCCCTTCAGCTCAATTCTTGAACTTCTGACTGTATTCAATCAAATTGACTGAGAAATATACTTTTGTCCTCAGGGGATATGCACTATTTCAGATTATAATTTAGATATATATTCCTTTTTTTTTTAATAGATCTATCTTCACTGTGTAAAATTCAGCTCTTGTAGAGGCTGGTCAAGCATCAGTCTTTGGGAAAAATGCTGCTGAATATTATGTTAGATCTTGGTACAAAAAGAGGTATATGCAAATGACATTTTGAGAGTCATGAGCAATAAAGGAGAAGTTTAGAATGTTATGCAGGAAAGGATAGAATACCTTAAAGGCTAGAATAATAAAAGTGAAACTGAGTTTAGTATAGTGTAAGATAAGATCATGTAAAAAATGTCCAGAAAAAAAAAATCATGAAAACTGGGAATGAAATTTTGGCGAGTAAACTAAAATTTCACCAAGTCTTAGAGGAAAACAACTTAATTTTTTAAAAGGGATTTTTCTAACTTTACAATTAGGAAAATGCATTGTGGCTGTGCGCAGCAGCAGAGACCTTGCTTAATCCATCAAATGGTCCCTTCTAGCCTGAGGGGCTTGGCTGATTTGTTGAAACTCTTTGACTAATGCTACTCCTATCTCTGTTTGAAACTCTCAAAATTCTGTATTGCCCTTCTGCTCAAGAACCAGGAGCATTGTCTTACCTAGTTTCCCAACTGTTTACTTCTTTTAAGTATAAGTATTTAAAAACCGGATCCTTTTGAAAATGCTTACAATTCAAAATGCTGATGGCTTAGTCACTTTGACAAATCAGCTACTGAACAAAAAGAACAGAAGATGAAGCAGGCATAGCACAGAAAAGAAATATAGTTTCTGCCCAACGGAAACCCTATTGAAACCAAGCTGGAGTAGGGTGAGAGTGCCTTTTAAGGGAAGAAATAAAGCTGCTTCTACGTATTGGGTCACCCACTATGTAATGAGTCACACCAGCCTACTATTTCTTCTCCAGCTGATTCAGAACAAAGGTCCAAAATCAGAAGATAAAATAGGTTTTAAGATTTTTTTGTCTGTTCATTTGTTTATTTTTGAAGCAAGAAAGCTGTGTACACAACCTGAGTAGTTTTGGTCAGTGTCACTGTATAAGGACATTGATGATAAGTTGAAAAGTGTTCCTCAGTATACATCACAGTAAATTCAAACATATGAAAATTCTACTTTTGGTGGGAAAACACCCCATAAAGTTCCTGGCTTAACAAGGTCTCAGATACTGATTTTTTTCATGACTGGAATGTCAGGTGTTTTGCCTGGCCAAAGCTCCACTGGAGTTCAGTAAAATGTTACTTACCAGTAAGTTTCAGAAAATTACCTATCAGCCTATTTTGGAAAGAGGGTGGCTGAAGTAAGGTGGAATTAGACACATTTATTTTATTAATATGGCACAGTCACATTGCTAAAAATTCTAAAAAGTTGAAATTCATAAAGTGACTCGTATGACTTGCCAATATTTTGGAGCTGAAGAATCTGTTTCAAAATCTGGTGACCCTAGGCTGTCTTGGCTAGTAATCCTTCTTGATTAGTCCACACTCATCAATCTGTATCAGATAGAAGGACTGATGAATCTTTCCAATAAACACAAAGCATGTCCTAAAACCAATAACTGCCATTCCAGCTACCTGTGTCTAAAATACAGTGAACCTAACAATGTGAACCATGCTATGTCCTTATTTGAGGGAATACTAGGAGATAAGTAATATGTGACGTCAGTATATGCAACCATTTAGTTGTATTTCAAACTGCATTGAGGTTACTTTTTTAAAGATATTTTTCTTTCGGAAGGAAGGAGGTAGCCCCTTTGTGGAAGACAACAGTAGAATTTAAAAGCTGAGGCTAATGTGGAATTGACACAGTATGAAACATGAAATAAATGGTATATAACAGCTTTCAAGATGGAAACAACAAAAAGCTTCACCAAAGCAAACCGAAATTCTGCAGTTTGGATATACATACTGAGATGGTTCAGTAAGAAAACCCATTTTTATGACTACCAGAAGTTCATAAGCATAGGAAAATGATGATGAGGTTAGAGTTGTAAAACAACCTTTTCACTGAGAATTTAAAAGATTTTTTTTAATCATGTTTGTATTTTTAAATAAAGTCTCAAAAATGCATTAACTTGCAAACTTTACTTTTGATAGCTTAGCAATCTTTCTACTCTTTCATATCATATGCTTTTAAAATGTCTTATGACCGTCTGAAGTTATACTACAAATACGTAGGGTAGACATAGGAATATAAAGACATTTAAGTTTAAGATTCAAGTAGTATGATGAGTGTCAACAGTGCAGTTGCAGTTACAATTGGTAGCTCCATGGTGGAGCCAAAAGCATGAGCTTTACACTGAGAGAGAATCAGAAACATAATGCGAGAACATCCAGCTTTCTACAGAATCACTTTGTTCCAGCATACCCTACAGAACAGTGATTTCTTAAACTAAGCTGCAACTGAAGTGTGTCAGGAAATCTATTTCATTAACTGAAATAGCAAGCTGTTTGTAGAGTGCCAGTCATCAAGTTTCATTGCTGCTGAGTGTAGATTATATCATAAGTATACCACAGCGAGGGGAAAATTTCCATTTCAGAAGGGAAATCATACAAACTAAGGAACTCCACAAAGATTTCAGACTATAATCAAGTGTCCTGGGGGCAATAAGCATCTTTGATTTTAGATAAATACTTTCATATGCCAATGAAAAGTACCATTCAGTGTAAAGCATCTTAATTGAGATGAAGTGCGTAAGTCATTCCTTTGCTAAGGTATCATTCCAAAATTAGCTTCATAAAGCAGAGTATTCTTTCTTATTCACAAGTATATTTGAAAGTACAAAGGGCATATACATCAGTTTTTAGTGAAGCCTTAATCTCATTTCCAAAACTTAAAAGTTTTGTTCTTTGAAATTATTATTTTTAAGTATTATAAACTTTAATGTTCAGATACACATTAAAATAATATGAGGGGAAAATATGTAAAATAAAAACAATTCTAGATTATTTTATAATAGCTGTGTACAGTTTTTTCATTACATAAAAAAGCCATCAAAACTGAGTCATGAGTGAACCTTGAAGTTGCTCCCCATGTCCAGTAAGGATAGATTACTCTTAGAAGGAGAATGGATGTTTCCTAATGCATTTTGTCTTGTCACATTGGGGATACTCAAAAGAAAAAACACTACCAGTTTACTACATTGCTTGTGAATTTGTGGAAATAGAGTTCAGGTGTCAAGTTATTACTCCGGATGAACCATTGAGTGTCACAGACAATCAAGCCTATTTGTTGCAGGCATAGGATGACAGTCTCTTAAACCAATTAAAAGCTATACATTGGAAAGAGAGGGCTGCTGCTTGTTGCATGAGGCAGTAAAATTTTATGGCTTTGTGAACTTTCACTTGGAAAATTTCTAAAAATTATGTTATCAGAAGAACTCACGTCCACTTACAGTGGGTTCCTTCTTGTTCTAAAGCAAGCAAAGAGCACTCTCAGTTGAGGAGCCCAGGTTTCAGTTCCTTGTTACAACTGGAGAAGATTCCTTTGACAGTGCTCAAGTTTTGCCTGGCTGATGTAAAGAATTAACAGCGTCCTCCCAGGTTTCTTAGACAGTGTCCTCACTGGTAATTAACACTCTAGAAATGACATTTATTCCTCATTTAAGAGTGGTAACAGGGTGTCACTTCTGCAACTTCTCAGAGATAGAATTTTCAGGGCAGTGCCCTTTAAGAATACTTATAAAAGCAAATGAGCTATGAAAATGGGTTAAGTGTTCATTTGTATGTATGGCAGTCATTCAGTATACTAGCAATTAGGGAGAATATAAAATTTTAGGTTGCATATGCAACTGGCATGCACATCCTGTTCTCATTTTGGAAAAGGTACTTCCTATTTAGAAGCAGAATACTAACAGAGTACATTTTCATACATAGCTGTTGGCCTTTCATACTTAATCCATCTCAATTCATTTAAACCATTCATTTAAATGTGAGGGAACACTAGCTATTGAAATATACATTGTGAGTTAGTAGTGAATTTCCATTTGTCTTAGTGTTAGAGGTTAAGTAAGCTCTGAAGTAAGATCAATCCTGAGAAGTACTGTTTGAACTAAAATATACCTTTCTAATTTGTAAGCTCTTCAGTTAAGAGATATATCTACTTCTACAGTATTTCATAGATGGGAGACAAAGAGCTGGAAGCATTACTACAGCTAAGGTAAGAGTGAAGGCTCTTGGTAGTACAAGATACTAGTAAGTACAAGATACTGTGCTAATTGCTGGAGCAAAAGTAAACCTGCAACACTAAATTGCGTGAAATTATAAAATTGTATGATGCCTCTAATAACATCCTTTGCCATCAGAGACTTACTTCAATAGAAGAAGATTTCAGGATATTAGCAAAGTTTTTATTGCAGCACAGTTTGTTATCGTGAGTGCTACAGAAACACTACTATTTGCATAGCTGGTGTAAAGTGGAAGATCTGTTTTTGCAAAATAGTGTACCACATCCCCATAAGGGAGGAAGCTAGCCAATGAGACCAGACTGCATTTCCACTGATTATGATAATGAACTAATGATCTCAGAGACTAGCTGGACATCAAGGAGTCTGTTGCATTAGCAACAGGGAGAAAAGGATGCTGAGATGACAACTGTCATGCAAACGCCTACTCAGCATATTGCAAACAAGTTCAGCTGAGCTGGCAAGGAATATAAAAGTGCTTATATAACAAATGCCAGTTGTTTTGCTAAGGAAAAGAATTGTTATGACTCATGAGAAGAGCAAAGGAATTACCTGAAATCTGGGGGAACAAGTCAGTTTAGTGCAATGCTAAAAATTCACCACTGTGCTCCTAACCAAGAAAAAAAAAAAAAAAAGGAGTCACTCTCTACAAGAAAAATCTTTAGCTAAATCAAGTAGTGACAATGCAGAATATGAATCGCTGAAGACATAGATCTTTAAAAAACATATTTAGGAAACTGTGGTAATCAAGAAAGATCATACAAGTATTTGAAAACTTTTATTTTAAAAAAATATTACCAGGATAAGGTAGTTCTTAATTGCTTTTGCAACATGTATAATGAAAACTTGGATTTTGGACAATACTGTTTGATTAAAGTATGTAGGATACAAACCAGGAGAATTATAGCAATGCTAAATAAAGAAAACTTTCAAGCTCAAAAGACATTTCTTTTAACTTCAATTTTATTTTAATTTAGACATCATTGTGTTGACTAAAGACTAATAATAACAGAGGTGAATACTGTTTTGGACCCTACAGACCAATAGCAATAATGCGGGTGGTCACCTATTTCTTCACAAGGAAAAAGAATATAGTACCAGTCACTAAGAATTGTGTTAGTACATAGATTTCCAAGGGACTGATTTCCCCAAAGTAAAAGCCATCATAAGTCAAACAGGCTAGAAAGCAATATTTAAAGAGAAAGACGTCAAAAGAAATTTGGAAATTCTTTTAAAATAAGATGGCTCCTAGAAAGCAACAATTGTGCAGTAACAATTCTGTTATCCAGGTGAGAATGACAGCCAAAAGCATGTCCTGGTGCAGCACAATGTAGAGACAGAACTTAACAGTATAAGAAAACAGCAAGAAGGAAATAGAAAATAAATCAATATAAACTTACATTTATATACAGATATAGATATCTGATAAAGGAAGTTAAAGGCATTATGAAAAATGCATGGTAGAATGGGCTTAACTAATCTTAGTAAGAAGATTTAAACGTTACCAGGTCAAATGTGGTGGTGAGTGATTAGGTGCATCTTCTGATGGACATGGCAAACTAATTCCTTACAGTGAGAGACCTTGCAACTGCTTTTTTTTCCCCCTTCTGCCTCTACCAGTAGTAGAGGTAATTCAGGTAGTGCCTAAGTATCTTCACTGGGAGAAAACACTGCACAGCACTTAAAAAAAGACAAGATTAAGAAACAGTCACTTAAAGTCTAAAATGACAGAAAGTCATATGAGAAAATGCATGCAATTTCAACAAAGAGTGGGATTTAGTATTGCCATGCTTTATTAATAGGATGGGTGGACCCACCTGCTGTTTTTTCTGGAAGACATGCTTTATCCAGGAATATATTTTGGATTCAGTATAGGGTACCTTGGCAAAAGAAAAGGACCAGTTACTATAGAGGTCAGGCTAAATGTTCCAATAATACCTGCATTCAGTGAAACTTTGAATAATATCATTGCAATAGCCTCTTCTCATGTCTTACTTATTAGAGGAGATAAATCGCTGGCTGTATGCCCTGGGTCTGCTTCATGTTGTTAATCACTTTGTAATTTCCCTTACAGAATATATTGACTAAATTGCCTCAGTCTCAGAATATTCCTTTCCCCCTTTGTATCTCTGTGAAGCATCTTTAGCTTTACTCTGTGCTGAGAAAATAAAATAACTTTACTTCTTTTAATATTTCAATGTTCAAGACATCTCTCAGTTTTCTTAAATCTGAAATAGCAGACAGATCCTTTGGAGAGAAACTCCAAATTTGCAGAAGGCTTTTAAAACTCTTCCTCCATAGTAACTGGGAAACTCCTTTCCAGAAATTTCCAGTTCCTTCCAATTCTTTTTCTATCTTCACATCTAATAACACTTCAGAAGAAGTTACCTCTATGAAAAATAAATTAAAAAAAAAGGAAATTTTCTTTTCCTTTCTGTACTAAATACCTCAGTAACCTTTCTAGTTTGATCAATTGGAATGAAAAAAAAAAAGGATTATTTTCCTGCAGTTTTATCTATGCTGTTGAATACAGAAAAAGGCAGGACACCAAATAATATTAAAAAAAAATCACAGCTTGCATCTAAAACATGACATTTGTCTTTGGAATGCCATGTCATGAGCTGATAATGTTGAAATTAAATGACAATTCTTGGTAAGAAAGCTTAAGGCAGAAATTATATACTTTGCTGATAATCTGGTGTGAAGCTAGGACAACCAGTCCCAATTTAAGAAGGCCATGATGATGGGAGAATCTAATGGGTCACCCGTGTTAATATATTTTGAACATCCAAGCACATGCTTTGATGCTCTTTCACAATCTGGGAGCTGTACCAAGAATTTATACATGATGAATCGAGGCAGAAAAAAAATTAAACTGGAAATTACAACAACAGTAAATGTAATAATAACTCTTTCTTATTATAAATTTACTATTATAAATTTATGTGTTAAGACTAATATCCAGAGTTAATTGGGACACTTAGGAACTGTGACCACTAAGGGTACTCCCAGGAAAGGTCACATCGTATCAAAGTGCATCTGAAGTGCCTCTTTCTTCTGCTAGAGCTGTGAAAAAACCTGCAGTGTCAGTCTTACTGACTTTGTCAGTAAAACAGAAGACTAACCTATAAAATTATGTAAAGCATATACAAATGTATGTTAGTTACTACTTTGTGCAATATATAAAATTTCTTTCTATCTAGTGCTTCAAGGCACAAAACATTTGTTTGATTTTTCTTTGGACTTCACTCAAATTTAAACTCTCCTTCAGGGCTATTAAGATAAGCTGCCCAGAAGAAGCTCAATGGAGCTTGCAATATAGCAGGTGCTGAATGGATGCACTCCCCTGCCAGTAGCTGTAGCATGTAGCAAACTTGCCTTTATTGGCTTCTAAGGCAGTGAATCTGCCCTAGTTTTTCAACACAGCCCCAGGCGTGCTACTGATCATTTAGATTTAAGCTTATTGGAAGTTCTAAATGCCTCTCGCTGCAGCTACCTGTAGCTTTTCAAAAAGATGCAACTGGCAAGTTGACTCAGAAATATGCCTCAAATTTACTTTCAATAAATCGCATTTAATCTGCCTACTGTTTGATACAAAAGTTCTTCTTTGTTAAAAACACATCCAGCAGCTTTGAAGCAGATTGTGAATGAACAATTGATGAGTATCAGCAGCTGTTTGCAAAAAACATTGATTTTCTGTAGATAACAAATCATCTAAACATTTAGAGTGTATTACTATGTTATATAACCTTGGGAAATAAGGTACTACCGCTTTAGCATTCCAGCAAATAAATTTAGTCCCTGCCTGTTAAGTATTTCTCTGAAAGTATTTTGGGTTTTGTCCTTTCTCAAAGTACTCTAGAGAGTACTCTAGAGATAGGTTATTATATTTCTTTGTGAGTGAGACAGATAAAATAGAGTACAATGCAGCCACTTTCTCTACTTTCATTTTACATACATGGAACTTTAAGATTTATATAGACAGTCATATTTTCCAAGGGCCCTTCCTGTTTGCCCTATACATATATACAGTCCACCTCAAGTATGAAATGACAACTTCTCTAAGATTATCTTAAACATGATTGTATTTGCTCTTAGTGGAAAAATGAGCAAATTCAAATATTCCCAGCAATCAAATTTTTAAATATACCTACTCATTTACCTGGAATAATAAACCAAAGGATGACCAACATAAATATGTGCAATTTAAAAACTGCAGACCTGATGTAAATTGCTTTTTAATTTGCTGTTAAAAGTGTTGATTTTGGAAATATTTGGTGTAGAATGCGAACAGCTTAATATATGATGATACATGTATGTAAATTTCAGGATTGATAGGATTATTCCTAAGAGTATGCTTTAATTATAGCTAAGTATAATAGAATTTATCCATAAACTAGATGGATTCTTCCAGAGCATTGAGAAGCAAAGAAAAGCAAAAGGGAGATACCAGCAAAATAAGAGATTAAATCGGTCCAATACTGAAAGATTCTTGCGGAGTTCAATTTAACATTTAGAAAAGAAAGTCTTTAGTATTTAGAAGTCACTGGCTCAACAAATTTTGATCAAATTTGAACTTTTTCACTTACTTTACTCATAGGAATACTTTTACTGGTGGAATTTATATTCCTTTAATTCTGTAAGTTTATGTGCCAGTGCACTGATGGGCCTAAGGGAGCATCTGAAATATAAAACTGGTAAAGACCAGATAGGCTTCAGAAGCAAGCTTAGTCCATCTTACTGACAGGGGTCATTTCCATTAATATCACATCTTAATAACTATGTCCTTAGACTGCCACAGAGCCCTGCACATTAGCTTTTCTCATGAACCCTAGGATTGAAAGTTATTTACAAAAAGGATAAAAGTGTGACACATGGTTATAAAAAGGCATGCTGCATGATTAAGACTGATCTTTTACTTCAGTACACATACTTCTAAAACATCCCTGTTCCTTTAGGCTGAAAGTGAGGAAGAATTATATCTTGAAGCCAAAATTCACAATTAAGCTATTTTTCAAATATTTCTAGAGCAACTCCCTCTGGTGGGTAATGATTATCAAGAAGAATATATTAAAAAATAGATAACGTCAACTCTCACCTTTCTGGTCCTGTGTTGAAATGACCATGGTAAACAGAAATAGGTATGTCTGAAAAATCCAGCTGCTTCACAGCTATTTGGCCCTAAAGTAATACTCACCACCTTACAGGTACGAGGACTCAGTCAAAGGCATTAGCTGGTCCATGTCAATCTCCCACCACATTTTATGATTCACTTAATGCATATGAGCTTGCAAATAAAAATGTGGTTTCCCTGTCATATTCGGCCTAACAAAGGGAATGATTGAAATCCGGATTTTTAAAACTAAGGTATGGTACATTAAACCAGTGCATTTCACAGTAAAAGGAGGTAAAGGGAGCCTACACTGTCAGTTCTTAAGAGATATCTAGCTATGCTGTAGTAATTTAGTCCCTTTGTTTATCTAGACTTACCCTAAGGGTTCTCACT